AAGAGACTAATCTTTTTTGTTCTATTTCTTTGTTTTAAACTCATTGGCTAGCTTATGAATACAAATCATTTAGTTTAGACCAATGGCTTTGAACCAGGGTGATTCTGTCCCCCATGAGACATTCAGCAATGTCTGGAGACCTATTTTGTTGTCACAAATGGGAGGGTGCTGTCGGCATCTAGTAGCTAGAAGCCTGGGCTATTGCTGAACATTCTGTAGTGTACATGACAGCCCCTCACAACAACGAATTATCTAGCCTGAAATGTCAATAATGGTGAGGTTGAAAAACTCTGGCTTAGAGGAAAAACACTTTTAAAAACCATCACAAGTGCATGAGCCTGCAGGGATTAGTTAAGTGATTAAATGGCTAATTGGACAAGTTTCAAAGGGTCTAGGCTGCCTGGACCCAGCTGATTGTCGTACAGGGGACCCATGGTGCCCTGCATCCAGGTGGCGAGCGCTTCCCAGTTTTCAAGCCAGAAATTCAAATTTGAAAGTAAAATTACCGATCTTTTAAATGCTGGCAATTAATTTGAGTATTTTTAGTGCTTTGCCAGTCAAACAAAATACATCTGGATACGTAATGTAGACAGGCCAAAAGTTTACAGCCTCCCCAGACACTCAAGGTGCCTCACCACTGTGAACTAGCCACCTCTGGGTATGTTAACGCTGGCCTGCACTTCCTGATCTGTCTTTCCTAGCTAACATTTAGTGAGCTCTTACTAGATCAGAACCCCTCTAAGCACTCAAAACGTGTTAACACATCTTATCTTTACAACAACCCTGGAGAGAACTGTAGTATTCTCTCCCATTTTAAAGACAAATGCTCAGAGAGGCTATACAACTTCCCAGAAGTGACACAGAAAATGGCAGTCCCAGAATTTGAACACAGGCAATCTGGTTCCAGAGCCTATGCTATTAATTGCAAACCAGCCTGCCCTGTGGAAGATGTTGCATCTCCATATCCTACACAGGGAAACTTGCAAGGGACTTCCCTGGCTTATTAGCCAACCTAGGCAAGGAACAATCCACCACTGCGGTTATCTTGTATTCCTCAAGCGTTCAGACCTCAGTCCCTCCATCTAAAGCTGCGGTTCTCAACTGGGGGTGATTCTCTCCTTGGGTCACATCCTGCAATATGTGGAGACATTTTTGGTTCTCATAAATGGGGGGTACTACTGTCATCTAGTGGGTAGAGACTAGAGATGCTGCTAAAAATCACACAGGACAAACCCTCACAACAAAGAATCATCGAGCCCAAAATGTCAATAGTGCTGAGGCTGAGAAACTCATCTACACACCTGGCTGGCAACCGTTACCATATGTTAAAACAAAACAACAACAACAAAAAAAAAACCAGCAGAATATTCCAGGTGATTCTGTCTGTTTATCTAGAACACTAGTTTATCTCTGAAATCATTCTTTCTTCTCTTGCCCTGGAATTTCATCGTAATCCCATGTCACTATGCTAAGTGTCTACATTGAATAATAATCTCCTAATACAACTCTTACATGTTAGCGGCAGCAGAACAAATGAGAAATGGAAAGATTAGCAATAGCCAAAAGGAAAATGAGCATTAAAATACAAAATAAATCTTTGGGACTTGACCATAATTATCATCTACATGCCTGAAATGTGAATGTTCTCTTCTGGATGCCCTAAACCATAATTGTGCTCCGTGCCCACATGCATCAAATGCTGATTGCCATGAACACCATCTCTGCTAAACACACACGTGACTGCGCCGATTTCATAAAATGATTTTAATAGAAAAGTACAAGATATGAACAAAAATAAATAATCTTTATCTCATTTCTAGCAAACCCAGCAAATTGTACACTGCATTAAAAAACGGTCTAATATGCAATTTTCCTCATTCTTCTTTTGCTTTTGAAATACTGAGACATTTTAATTAAATCTTCTCTATTCAAATTGATACATTTGTTTTAAAAACTCATACCAAGATTTAATCAATCTACACCCATTCTTTTGAAGTTGGCTAACAAGATGATGTTTCACTAAAATATCACCCAATCATCAGATTTAAGTGTAAAGTTTGTACAAGCAGGTAAATAGAAGATTCTTTTACTAAGTTTTAATTACTATGTTGCTGAAAGCTTCCTGTTTTAAAAACTCAATTCATCATCATACTTTCAAAACATGGCATCTGTTTTTCACCATTTCATAGAGAGGGGAGACTAAAAAATACTTTCTAAAAAAAAATAAATATTTTAAAAGTACGCTTTACAGTGATAATGCAGTATTTTAGACCTATGCCTTGGTGTGTATTTGCATTACATACATGCTTCAAGTTATAACTACCTTTTTCATCTGTCTCTCCTCACTTATCTTATGGACCACTCAGCCTTTAAGGACTGTTTTGCTAATGATCTCTTGAAGTCAACCAGTACCAATCTCTTATTTGGAGTACTTAGCCTGCTAGAGTGTCATATTTGATAATTCCAGTAGCTTGCATAATGTTTTGCAAAAACAAATTGAAAGTTGGCATTGGCAAAGTCATCTGAGCAAGGGGTTTGGGTAGGCTACTAAAACATATACAGTCAGGAGGTCAGCAGCTAAACAGATAAACTGGACTAAAACTCAAAACAGTCTTCCTTTTACTTGAGGCCACAATGACTTTTGAACATGGCTCTGCTTGCTGGTGCCTATATATAAATTTTTTTGTTAATTTTCCTGTATTGGGAAGATCTTGAATGCATTCCAGGATGCAAAGAAAAAAATATGCTGACACTCTTAAATCAAGTATATGTTTTTGCAATAAAGAACACTGGTCAATATACAACTGCGGAAAAACTGAAACAGATGTGAGTCCTAGAACCACAAGCGTTTGAATTTGCCCAGAAATGCTATTTTAAACACTCTATATGTTGGTCTACTGTTTTTTTGTGGAATAATGCATTCTTGGCATCCTTGAAAGGTTTCAATATGTTACAAGGTTATCCAAAAAGAAAAAAAGCAAAGGGCTAACCTATCAATCTGGGCCACACTGGCCAGATTTCGGTGTACACTTTCGGAAAGCACGAGAACCCATATTAATTGCATTTAACACAACGAGCCTTTAGTTTCCAATGAGTTTTCATTCTCTGCAGATTGAGGCTTGCTTTTCATGAAATAACTTTCAAAGGGTACAGAGACACGCAGTCCACAGTAACTTCAAATAGAGAGGTGCAATAGTTGCAGTGGTAAACACAAATACACTTTTTTGGACTAAAGCTCTGGTCATGGATAAAAGCATGTCGCTTTTCAGTTCTTCTCTGAGATGTTACAATAGCAACGCGCTCTAAAACAATTAAGTTACATGCATAATGCTGAAAGAATGTGAGCAATCCTATAACCAGCTTTGAGCCATCTGCTTGATTTCTTTTTTTGAGGAACATATATAGGAAAAGAGAATTCCCCTTTTGTTGCGTTACATATAGAAATCTTTTGAAGCTTCCAAATAGTTTGCTTTTTGGTAAAAATTCTCTGCTCTTCTGTTATTCTGACATGTAGTTTACCCTAAACTCTCCCTCATGGCTTCTCAAAAAATCTCCACATGAATTATCTGAATGACAATTGAAACCACTTACCAATATACAAGTAACGTTTTATTTTATATTCTATCTTCCATTTGGCATAAGCCTTTTGATGTTTGTTTTTTTTAACCAGTGAAATATACAAGTCACGCAAGACAGAAATATGTACATTAAAAGTACAGAATAAAGGCCATAGAAGATATACATAATATCTGAGTGACAAGAATATTTTACATTAAATAGTTTCTTTTAAAAACTAGGATTGTTAAACTCAACTCTCTTCATAAACATGAATCACTAAAAAGGAACAAAATCTGGTTTAGCAAATAAAAAACTTCATGGTTTTTGTATAATAAAAACCAAAAAAGTGACATTTTAAACTAATTAGTGCTTTTTTTTTTTTTTTTTTTTTTTTTTTTTGCTTGCAATTCACTGCAACTGAGGGGATGTGAATATCCTTGTGCAATAAATTAAGAGCCACCGATGGCTGAGGTGATGTGAAGGCCACTAAGCCTACGAAGGTTGCAAGATATGTGTATCTTTCCAAACTTTTAAAATCATGTAAGTCTGAGATAAAAACACATTTGATGGCACTTTTTAGAAAGAGGTGTCCTGTTTTTAAAAACTTAAATACTAGCTGTCTATGTCATGAACTAGATTTTCCTTAGGGACTCAAATAGGTACTACTAGGTCTACTAGGCACCAGTTTCCACTCTGCCAAATGAACTAAGGAAAGAGAAATGCTCACCATGCTCTGAGTTCTGAATCTCTCGTCATCTCCAAGTCTATGACAAACAAGTAATGCCCTCTCAGGAAAATGTACAGAAATGGAGTTTGGAGAAAAGGGGATGGGGTGGGGAAGATATAAGAAATCTTCAAATCAACATGCATATCAGGGAAGAAAACCTTCCAGGTTCCTCAAAAATGAGGCTGTTTTGTGATGCTCAAGGTAGCATCACATCACGGCCATAGCCCAAGATCAACTTGAAAACCTTTTGGAAAAATCCCAACGGATTGCAATTAAGGACAACCACGCTCTAGACCAAGAAATAACCCCAGAGTGAAGTGTAGTGCTAAGTCACTGGCTGCACTGAGATATAATAACATTTATATTTATATATATGTATATATATGTTATGTACAAAAGACTTTTGAGATATCAGGCACCATTAAACCACATTCCCACCCCACCTTTATAAATGCAACTGTTCAAGTACACTAGGAACAGTTTTAGGGTTCACCTGCAGTATAATAGGAAAAGCTTGAGTGGAGAGTCTAAACACAGGATCGTATCAGTGAAATGCTGTAACACCTCTGTGAACTCCATTAGCCAAGTAATGTCATCCAAATATATAAAACTTCAGCTTCTCAAAATAAAAGTTTTAGGAAAAAAAAAATCCCTAAGTAGTGAACTGTTTTCCAAGTGGAGCTCCCAATGGTTCATTTCCTGTCCTGTAATCAAAGGGGACCCAGTGGAGCTGCGCTTTGGAAATGTGGCCAGCCTCACCTCCTCAGCAACAAGGAGGACTCACACAGAACTCAGGGTCAAGTGGGAGGGCAGGTTTCACTTTTTCCCACAAATGGGTTTTCTGCTCTGGTGCGGTGCTGAACTGCATGCAATTACCTTGTTGTCTGGGCGTAGGGTCTGTGAATGGAATCCGTTTATTATTTTAATATCATTTATTAACCAAGTATCCCTAAGAAAATTACAGTATATTTTCTTTTATATTCAAGCCAACCTCCCCCACCCCTCTCCAAACAAAAGGTCTACCACCCAGAGTCATTTGGGGATGCTTTCCCAATCTGACAACCAAATTCCTGTCACAGCTTCAAATCATTGTCTTAATATAGGAGTTTTAAGTTTTTTAATTTCTGAGGCTTTCCTCCCTGCTCCCCAAGTTTCAGGAGCTGTTAGAATAGGACCATCTGCACATGGAATGTTTGAGAAGCATGAGACACATGATATACTTTTTTTCTTTCAGGGATATAAGATTCTCATTCTTATATTTTAAATTATCATTTTGATAATGTTTCAGGCTGATAGCCCCTGGGGAAGGGGTGGGTTCTCTTCTTTCTGTTTGTTTCTCCAGACCTTTTACCAGAGCATTTACAAATCATTTTGATCACAGAGGCATGGATTTGGACCACCCCCTTCCAACTGGATGTTACTTGTCCCATATGACCCCACTGTTGAGAAAAAGAAAATGTATTTCATTTAACTTCTAGATGTGCACACAACTAAGTCAGGGTATATGTTATTTGCCCCTCATCCTATACCATCAAAAGAAGTCTTGTCTTACCTTTTCAAAGATCCACAAAATAAATATTTTTCTTGGTTCCCACCCCCATTATTGCCAAATAATAATTATAATATTAATAATAAACCACAGAGTTCTTGATGGGAACAGAAAAAAAATGGTTCCGGTTGCAGTTCTTGGGGGGAAATAAAACAATATTAAAAAAAAAAAACAGAATCACTGTACTTTCTATAAATAAGTGGGTCCTGGGGACGGGGCTGGGTGACAGGTGGGCAGTGGGGCGCCCACTATTTGCACACGAACTGGTCCACAATCTCCGTGCACTTCTTGCACTTGACGTAGCAGCACCAGTGGAACTTGCAGTGGCAGCGCTCCGTCTGCACCGTCTTGAACTGGTCATAGCCGCGGCCACAGCACATGAGTTCACAGCCGTCCATGCCTTCAGATGTCTTGTTGCACAGGCGGCCCTGTGTGCCCAGCGAGCCCGTGCTCTCATTGCGCACGCAGTAGTCCGGGCTGGGGTCGATGTAGACCAGGTCCTGCGTGGTGGGAGAGTTGAAGCGGCTGTTGACCTGCACCAGCTTGCCTCGGCCGTTGAGACGCATGGCCGCTGCGCTGTCATACTTCTCCTTCAGGGCGTCACCCACCTTGCGGAAGTCAGCCAGCTGCAACCAGCACGTCTTGAGGCTACAGGAGCCGGACACCCCGTGGCACTTGCAGGCCACATCGGCCAGGTTGTACACTGTCTGTGGGGAGATGGGACAGTCAGTTTACAAACTCATGGAAGAGCCCAGATGTAGGCAGGGCTCTGTTAACAAAGCTCCCCTCTACCTTCTAGGTGGAGCCATGTTCACCAGCAGAACTAGGGCCTGGGCCACTTCCTCCTCATTCCCCACTACCGGAAGTCTGTGTTACTTTCTTTAATAAGTCTACAAAATAAATACGTTTTTAGCCCCTCATTATTACACATCATCATAATAAACAGCCACAGTTTTTTAATAGGAACAGGAAAAAAATTGTTCCAGCTGCTTCTGTTTTGCAGGACAACATTATAGCAACTATTACAGCCTGAACACTCATCCCAGAGACCGTGCACGATTCCTTACCCATACCACATGGACTGATCCCCACAAACAGCCTATGAGGGAAGTGCTATTATCATCCCCATTTCACAGGGAAGGAAAATGAGGCCCAGAGAGGAGAGATACTTACCCAAGTACTAGGATTTGAACCCAGGCAGTTGGGCTTGAAGCTCATGTTCAGTGACTTGCCCATGGGTACCCAGCTGATCAATGGTAGGGCTGAGAGGGGTCCAGACCAGTAAGATAAGGGTTCAGATCTTTACTCACTATTACTATTATTGCTGTGTGTCAGGCACTGTATTAAGAGCTTTTATACACTTTATCTTATTTAATCCTCCCAACAAGGTTATAACATGGGCTGGATTAGATGGTGACACAGTGACAGGGAAGATAAGTGGCCTGCACAGGTCATGCAGCTAGAATGTGGGAGAATTGGGCCTTGATCTCAGGTCTTCTCCCTCCTGCTTCTCAAACAACCCCTAACCCTCCCCTCCACTGCCTAGGCTAAGAGCACCCATCCTAGGCCCAGGCAGACATGGGTTCTGTCCCAACTCTGACCCTGATTCAGGCAATTGGCTTCCCCTCTTGGAACCTCTATTTTCCATCCATGTAGCGGACTGATGGCAACAGCCTCACAGCACTGTTGTAAGGATAAAATCAGACGATGCATGAAACATACTTGGCACGCAGGATATAATCAGTAAATCTGGTCTTTCTCCAGGGTGACAAGGGCATGGCGTCTGAGTCCTTCCCAGTCACCTTGACCTCAGGTCTGGCCCCAAAACACTGTGCCCAGCAGTATGGGAGGTGGCGGCTGCCTATTTATAGTCCTGACAGCCCACAGTTCCTGTACCAGTTACCCTCCAGAGTCCGAGTGCTATTGGCAGGAACTCGGAGGCTGGCGTGAGTTAGAAGGCTCCTTCCACCCAGAACAGCCATGTTCTTCCTCCAGGGATTCCTAGGGGGCTTTCTCGAAAAGGAGGTCAAAGCATATTCCTTTGGCATAAAGAGTTTTAGGCACTCAGCTAGTCTGAGGAAGGGTTTTGCGAACATATTAAACCTTTACTCCCTTTTGAGGAATATAAAAAGCTATGTCCAGAGGAGATGCTAATATGATTTATATGCATAGTGGCTGACTTCCCTGCTCCAACCCCCGATCCGAGAGAAAAATTGTCTTCTATGTAACCTCATCTACCAGGATCCAAGCCCAGCTCACTGCTCAAATTATAAAGCTTACAGGGGGGAAAAAAAACCCTCACTATTTAAAAAAATGCAATTGTTAAATGAAATAATAATATTAAAGGTGCTTTTCCAACTCTGCAAAATTCTCTCTCTCCACCTGGAAATCCCCTGACCCATTCTCCTTGGTTGCTAAGCCCCTGAAGATTTCCCTACAGGAGAGACGTGTAAGCAATCTCCAAAGACAGATGAAAGCACCAACTATGGGCAGAATGGGCCCAGACTGTCAGCCACATCTCTGTCCTGGAGGCATGTCTGGTCTCTGGAGCTGGGCACACCATGTGCAGAAAATAAAGGTGTATGTCTCTGATGAGGACAGGAGCAAGGTCTTCTGGGCTCCAGGCAGAGCAGGTCTGACATCCCCATTGCACAGCCTTGGGCAGGCCACAGCAGGGAGAGCCCGCCACACTGCGGACACCACGGCAGTGAGAGATCTCAGAGAGAAGAGGCCATGTCCCTCTGAGAGCAATTACTGACCTCTCAGGGCAGCACAGGCAAAAATATACAGAGTTCAGTCCTTCCTTGACACCACCAAATGTTCAGCAGCAAATCTGAGAAGATAGGTTAGCTGGAATTGTCTAGATAATCTTGGACTTCTCCATGATTTTACTTCATAATGTTTAGAATTATCACTTATCAATTACTTTACTACCAGCTGACATTAAATGAAGACCCTCGACTGAACCATAGGAAATCATTATTTTATAGGTCAGAAATAGTCACATATTGGTATTTCCTATGGTTCAACCTACTATATCATCTCAGTTTGTTCTCAAGACAACTTCAAGAGATAGTTCATGCTATGGCCATTTAACAGATATGGAAATACGGAAACTGAGGCTCAGGAACATACAGAACTGGATTTTAATCTAGATTTCTCTAATTCCAAAACCTATAGCCCTTCACCCTTAAGCTGCGATATATGAGTTTAATTTAAAAAACCAAAAAGCACCTGGCTTATATCTCACTCTATTAATTTTCTTCCACAGCATGAAGTGGTTCTCCGGGCCTCAGTTTCCCAATCTTTAAAATGAGGGTGTGCGGCCAGAGGGTTCTAAGCCTCCTTCCAGTCCTGGATACTTTACTTTGTGATTATCTTCCCTTTCCTCGCCCCAAAATACAGAAGGGTGAAATCTCTGACCAGAAAGTTCCTGGCACCTACCTTGGGTTCTGTGAAAAAATAATGGCCCTGGTTTTCAATGCTGCCAAAGCTAAGAAAAGTTTTCACCCCTTCATTTTAAAGCAGCCATAAAGTGCCATGTGCTTAACCACAGGGGGAAAAAAAGGGGGGGTTCTTTTGAACTTTTGTGGAGAAACATTTTATGTCCCCACCAGGCGAGGGAAGGAGCAGAATGGGGACCCTCCGGCAGGCCTGCAGAGGCCCTCCTCTCTGGGCACTTCTGAGTGGCTCCCTCGTCTCTTCAGAGCCACCCACAATTGGCCTGATGGTCAGACTACCAAAAATGCTGTAGTTTTCCTAGAAAAGTTCTTTTTTAGAAAAGCCCTCAGTCCATCAAACCTGCTATCTAATGACACAGGGAAGAAAAAGGTAAGTCCTGGAAGCTGGGGTGAGGGTTTCTTAGCTGGGCGCTTACTGGGATAAAGAACTCCCTCTCCCAATTTGGACACAACCACAGACTTGTTCCAGGGAGGAGGGCAAACCTTAGCATTTTTACTTCTGAGCTCGACTGGCCCCAGTTGCACTGGGGATTAATTTAAAAGGCAGAGAAAGATCTTGACAGACAACTGCAGGAGCTCCTTGGCTAGATGGGGGGCGGGGGCGGGGGAGGGAGAACGAGGAAGGAATGATTCACCCCCAGGAGGGCTTTTCTGGGGTGTGCGCCACTCTCCAGAGAGGCCTGTGGCCTATTTGTGTGCTGAAGTGTGGACCGGGAGTTGGGGGTGGGCGGGCGAAGAAGAAAGGCAAGGAGACGGAGAGAAAAAGACAGAGAGAGAGAAAGAAACGAGAAAAGACAGAAAGGGGGTTGGAGACAGAAAGAGGAGGAGACAGAGTCAGAGAGACGAACATGCAGGAACCTACAGAGAGTAGCAGAGGGCGTAGAGACCGGAAGAGGCCCAGCCTGGGGGATAGAGGGTCTCGAGGGAGACTGAGAGGCCTGAGTCTGGGACAAGACCTGGGGCACTCACCCTGCGGCCGGCCTCGTTGTTGTGCAGGTTCATGAGGATGCGCGCGCTCTCGTAGGAGCCCTTGGCGTGGATGCGTTCCCGCTCCCGCGCGTCCACGAACTCCTTGGCGAAGCGGTATCCATACTCGATGTTGTCCCCGCAGCCACCCCACAGCCAGTCCCTCGGCAGGTCCTTGGGACGCGCGGCTCGGCTGCAGCCACAGGTGGACAGCTCGCCCTCCCGGCATGCGCGGCTCATGGCGTTGACCACTCCCGCGGCGCTCACCGCGTACGTGAAGGCTGTCTCGCGGCTGCCTGCGGGCGAGGACTCGGGTCACCGGGGCCGCTGCAGAGGGAGAGCCTCGGCCACACAACAGCCCCTGGCCGGGTGAAGGGTGCGGGTGGAGATGGAGGGAGGGGGCAGAGGAGAGCCTTCTCGAACGGGTGGGTGAACACGTGCTGCCCCTGCTTGGGGACCACGGAGAGCCCCACCCCTGACATACACTCAGGCCCTGCGCTCTCCTGCAGGGAAAGCTAAGAAGACCCGACCCCCTCCCCACCACCCCGGTTCCAAACACAAAAGCAGCAACAAATGAAGAAGTATACACATCCCTTATATTTTTGCACTGGTACTTTAGAGCCAAACACAGGATCTTAGGTAGCGTTGGGCTGATTTTCTCTACAACTCTTTTGAAAATACTGGAAACTACTTATTTCCAAAAATGCACAAGAAAGAAGTCATTGGGGGAAAACTCAGAATTTGGGTAGACTCCCTTACATTTATTTAAATGTTTGTGTTATTTTCATTTTGAGTTACAGGGGTCAGGAGCATAGAATTTGCCAGGCTTAGAGCCTCCAACAGTTTGAGGCCCCAGTGGAACCCAGACACTGCAGTAGCCACGCTTATGGCCACGCGCTAGTTCTACTCACTTCCTCCACCTTCTTCTGCAGCATGAAGTGTGTCTCAGGACAAGGCTCTAGACTTTCCCAGTGGACATTTTCTAAATCCACCCTTAGAAAGTTACACATGAGCCTCCTCTTCTTCAATCCTAAACTGATTGGACTGATACCTCTCATTGTAGATAAGTGTCTACTTATGAAACAGCCTGCTGGTCTTCAAAGCCATTTCTGTGACTCCCTGCCAGCCTGTACCTCAAAGTGTTAGAGTGACGGCAAGAGGACAAAAAGCACAATCTAAAGGGAAGAGAGAGAGAGAGAAAGAAAAGCTTCTTCCTTCACCAGACTTGTAAAGAATATACAAATCTAGAGGAAAAACTGGTTTCCCCTTTCCTAAAATTTGCAAAGACTATCTCCACTGTAAAACAGTTACATGGGAGCCCTATTTGTAAGGGGAAAAATGGAGGCCACCATGGACCACCTTAATCTCCACTTGTACATGAAGACATTTCTAGCTTAACAGAAGCCACTTAGTAAGAATATTGTACTAGGAGAGAGAGAGGAGTAACACCAGGCCAGCTGAAGCTGGACATGGGGGGATGCGGTGAGGGGGCCTCACTTTCCTCAACTATAAAATCAGGTTATTGAACTAGATGTCTAAGAAAAAACAGGCCCTTCTGGCATTAAAATCCCTGTATTAGAATCAGTGTCTCCTGCACTTAAAGAGCTTGCTAACAATCTTTTGTAGGAAGCAGGGGTAGGGGGAGCAGGGGGAGGAGAGTGACACGAGAACAGCTGACGGCAGAACTCGGCCCCAACCAGAAGAGTCACTCTGCAGGAGGGCAGCTGTGTCAGTTCCAGGATCCATCCTCTCCTTGGACTTCTTTTCCAACCTCAGTCCACGGCTGTTCGTGACCCCCCTTCCAGGAATGGCAATGGTTCCCATTCCCCTCCGACCTTCCCTCCCACATTTAAAAAAATGAGTAACTTGAGGCGTGTGCTAGTGGCTAGCAGGAGGATCCGGAAAGTTCCTGTGGGGTGTGACATCTATCTATCTTGCTGGAATTAGTGAGGCAGAGAACACAGGACAGAGTGGAGAGAAATGAGGAGGGAAGACAGATTCTAAGGAGTTATTTAAGGATTACCACATAATACAGAAAATGCTGTGGCCCTGGATGGGAGGCTTATAGAATAAAGAGGTGGCTAGAGGAAGAGGAGATAAACAATCCTTCAGAGATACAGGAAAATAAGACACTGTGCTGTAAGTATACAAAGCATAAAAGGTCTTTTATACAAAACACAATAATGCTGCTTGTTTCAGAAGTCTATCTTAAGCATTTCCTTTTTTTTTTTTTTTGCCCCAGAATGCAAACCTGGTAGAAGTCTCTAAGCAAAGTGGTCACTGCAGGGAAAATGTCTGTTTGAAAAGTGCTCTTTGGCTAATAGCCTGTGGATACAGTCATCCTGGGTGGACTACTCCTGCTTCGTTTAGGTTTCCCTCCCTGTGAATCTACATCCTCTCCCATCCTCACGCTCCTCAAAAATGGCGCCTTTCTGACATATCTTTTCACAGCATGGAAACAAAGAAGAGACGGAGACAAAAGCTGGAAGAAAGGGAAGCATGATGAAAAATGAGAGAGTTTCCAAAATGAAGAGTGAGCACTTCACAAGGCGATTGTGTACAGTGCCTTCAAGGCAATTGGCATCCTAGAAAAATGAGTTGAGGAGGGGTTGAAAGTGTCAGCCCTGAGTTTCTCAGACACAGGTCCGATCACAGGGTCAGATTCTCACGGACAAGAATTGCTGGCGATATCCCTGGTATACTAAGTGCTTTGAAGTAGGTACACACACATACACACCTTTCAGCCTTAAAGGTATTCTGAACTTTCCCTTAGCTCATTTTCTTTTAACGTAACCTTAAATTAAAAAAAAAAAAAGTGAAAGCTAAGTAACTCTCCCACTGTTGGGGTTGGGTTCATATACTCTTCCACCAAAAGCTATTCTGTTTTTTCTTCTCTCTAACTCTATTTTAAATAAATAGAAAAGAAAAAAAAAGGCTCTATCGGTGCTCCAGCACAAGCCCCCAGCAGCAGCTTTCTGTTCTGAGACTCCAGACACCTGGGGAACTTTTGGCAAGGGAGGTGCTGCATCTTCCCAGGACCGCAGCCGATTTGGTGATCATATCTATCAGGGCTCCCTCAGAGGTTGTCCCACCCACTTCCCATCTACCCAGAAGGTAGTATCACACAGATGAGGACCAGAGAGTGTACTTGCAAGGGACAATTAAATATAGGCCTTTGTACCACGGGTTCTGCTTGTTACCTAAGGAAGCAGGCTCTTTGAATCTTGGATCACATTTTAAATAAATCTCCAGCAGAACTCAAATCCACTTAGCAAATGATAGCTTATTCTGAAGAGTTTGGCCCAAAACAGGCTACATATAAAGAAGAGAAGAGGATCTTAAATCAAAGCTGTGTTCCAGAGACTACACGGAAAAATAGTTCCAATTGCTGTTTTCCTTTCTGGTTACCATCAGAGGTGTATGATTTTTGCTAACTCGTATACTTGTGAAAAAGTGGTCCCATACTTTGAGAGGAATTTGAGAGGAAGGCAGTTTAGGGAGAACATATAAGCAAACGTAAGGGGGGGAAGTTGACAACTTACCATTCTGACATAACTTTTTAAAAAAGTGTTTTGTTCACTCCCAATATTAAAATGCAGAGGAATTAAATCTCTACCACCCCCCCAGTTAACTACATAAGACAGCCTATATTCAGGGAAAACTCCTATGTTCCTGAGGCTGAACTAGATTCTCATCCCAGTATATACATTAGCACATTTTAATCATTAACAGGAAAGACAAAGCCCTATGAAACTTTGCAGGCTAGGGCTTCAGACCATTTTCCCATTCAATTAGAGAACTGGCTTCCACTCCTGTATTATTTTAGTTTATGAAGCTGCTTGGCTCAAACATCCACTGACAACTCTTTTTTGTTCTCAATGAATGCACTTTTCAGGGTCTTTTAAAAAAGCATTTTACCCATCTGTGACGGATATTAAGCCACTTTTTATCTTCAGTCAGTATAAACAGTTAATTGCTTTGATAAATTGCTTTTTATTTTAGGAGTCACTGTAGTCATATTAATTATAAGGGCTTGTTTGCATAAAAGTAAAGAGACCTAAAATATTCACACTAGAAAATACACACAGGACCTCATCTGTCAAATAGTATCCTATGCCATTAAACCAAACCAGAGGCAAACTGATTTTTCAAATTCTTTGCCTTTAGTCTAGTTTTAATGTCATCTCCTCCCTGAATGGAATAACAAGTTCAGCAACACACTTAAAATAATCGGACTGTGATACATTTAAAGTTGTTTTTTTATTTTTTTTAAGTTTCGAGGTTGAGGTCTGAAGTATGTGCTTTTTAGATCATGTCAATTGCCAAAATCACAAAAGTAAATTGGATGACTTCTAATTAAAATTCTTTCTGAAACTAAAAATAAAGCTTTTAACATATATCTCTCTGGCCTCAGGGAGTATCTATATTAGGGAAATTAGAACCTGATTCACTTCCAACATGCCCAGCATTCTGAAAGATGACGATTTTTAATTTGGGCCATTTGAATTGCGGCTTAAGTTAGAAAATTGCTTACAGTTAAAAGAGTTTTGAAGCTTAAAATGATATAAATGACTCACCTTTCCTCATCTATGTTTGAGAAGCCAAAATAAGTATGCTGCTTCTATTGTAACCAACATGTTTCTTAGAAAAATTAAGTGTTCAGAATAAAACGAAGGTGTCTTAGATGGTCTCTCCTAATTGGGTTAAAGAAGTCCAAAAGGTAAACCGAGTGCAGGAATAGGAATTAACACAGGTAGCAACAATGACCCTGATCCCCAAGCCACCACTCTGCTGGAAGATGCCCTACTGATCTAGCTGATCAGTAAACCCTAATGACTTTTCTAGGAGAGAAGTTAACATATATTTAAAAGTATGTTAAATAGTCTCCTACCTATCTGCATAACCCTGCCAAACACGGAGGTGTTATCCACGGTACTGCAGTTCCATCGCCGATGTCGGAATTGATACTGGCATTCTTTGATGCCTGTCTTCGCGCCTTCTCCGATGTATTGCATGTGGTCCTGGTACAAGTGGCATAGTTTCTTCTGTCCTTGAGAAAGTCCTGCCAGTTGGCTGCAGAGGGGCTGCGCTCCTATGATATATACTTCTGACATCTGAACAGGGTTATTCATACCTAGGGACCTGAAAAGGGGTGGGGGGAGATCTACATTCAAGATTTACGTGAACTCTTGAGGTGGGCCCCCAGAAAGCATGTCAGCAAGACATAGTTCTAAGCACACAGATGCTTTTCTCTCCTGCTTTTCCTCATGACAAAGTATGAGAAGGGCTTCATAAAACTCCTCTGTTTCAGCTCCACTCAGAAAACGGAGGTATTGTGTAGTCCCCATCCCGCCATCTGGCTCCTCAGTTAGAGTTTTTACTCCCTTCCTTGCACACCCCCTTCGCCATATACCTGAACCAGTATTTCCGAAATCCTCTCAGAAAAGAGACAAACAGCAGTTTCAGGAGAAGACTCTGACCTTAGGGAAAGTGACTTACTTTGCCCCACAAATTGGACAGATCTGCCTTGAAAATGTGCGAATACCTAGAGTAGGCACAATTAGACACGGGTGGGAGATAGCAGTTCCTTCTGACTGATGGGAGAACAGTGGGGTAAGTACACAAACGGAAGAAAATTCACCATGCTCTGGACGTTTTAAAAGGACGCCTTATATATGATTGTGAAGGACCCAAGACAGGGTACCCAGTGAACAGAAGTCATGTTTGACAGTCAGGAAAACACTGCTCATTTACAGGGAAAAATATCCAGAACGCCGTCAAAAATAATCCTCTGGATATACTGCAGCCTATCTGCAAGGGCCCAACCAGAAAGAAACCCTCGTTCAGGGGCATTTGACTACTTCAGTTTTACCTTTTCTTGATTGAATTTTGAACCTAAATACTTCTCGACCTAGAGTTTAGCTGTCTTCCTAGAACTCTCCTTACATTAGGCCCTGAAGGTTAACAACCTCAAGTGACAGAAAAATAAAAGATGGAACTCACTTTTACTACCTAGGGGTGGCAAAAAGTAAATTTTATAGATAGGCTTTCAATTATTAGATAAGTGAATTTTGGTTCCCTTTTATTATATGATGGACTACAAGTATACATCTGAACAAGGGCCTCACAGAAAAAAATCTAGATTTATAGGTTCTGATTCCCTGTGGAGCTGAAGATAAGCTTTACAATATTAGCAAATTAAAAGAAAATTCTTATTTAAAAATACATGTAAATAAAATGTATTATATGTGCCCAAAGTCACGATTCAGCTTAAATATTGGAGCATCGTACAAATGAATATTAAAAAATAAAATATGTACATATAATGAACTTACCACCAAGAATTGGCTTCTATTACAACCTGGGCGAAGGAGAAAAATATGGCCAAAGCCATTAGGAAGAACTTGGAAGACATTGCACTTCCAGCCGTCCCCAAAGCAACTCCTGGGCTTAATATTCCAATCGACTTCTGGAGAGGGAAGAAAGGAGCAGATGTTTATTGCCTCTCAGATAATTTTCAAGCATACAAGTTTAAACAACGGAAGCATCCGGGTCTCTTAAGTTTACTGTTGATTGACTGCGCTTCTCCTCCGTGAGTTTTTGATGAGAAGATATAGGCAGTTTCTTTTTCCAAATTAATCCACCCACGCAACCTCACCAGGAAATCTGATTTCGCTGGGATCTTGCGCGCGGGGCACGCCAACGATTACAAACATGTCTCAATGCTGTTGAGTCAAAGCCCGGGTGCCAGGCGCTGCCTCCTTCCTGCTTGCTCGAGTCCCGCACCCCCTCGCTCCCTTCTAGTTCGCGCTGCGCTCAGTCCCTCCACCGGAATTCACTTGGGAACCCGCCGCCACCCTCGTCCTCTTCCCGACCTGGGCCGAGCAACAAGTGGAGCCTGAATTAATTCCAAGGGCGAGAGGAGCGCGAAGGAGAGTGGAGCGCGCCGCCGGCGGCTGCGGAGGAGGCGGGGTGGCCGGCGCGGGGGTGGGGGTGGGGGCAGGACGCGGGAGGGAAGGGCAGGGGGTGGGGGGCGAGGCCCGGGGGAACAGCGCGCGAGAAAGTGCCCAGCTGGGAAATGCAGCTCTGAATTAACATCGTATGTTTCATAATCAGTTTACGGGCCGGGCCGCTTTGGGAGAAGCCACTTCCAGAGGGGGAAGGACAGCCTGGGTTTCCTTAGGAGGCTCTTCTGCCAGATTGGAGTGGGGAGAAGGAGATGGGGGCCATGGGAGTCAATGCGGAGAGAGAGCTGCTCTCCCAACCAAGGAATTCATAAAACAGGGCGCTCCCTCTGACTTGGTGTATTCCAGAGAAAGGATGGCATCCCAGAGGAAACAAGGAGGTCTGATCTGGGTTCCGCTGTACTCAGAGAGGATCTTTTCCCTGCGCTCCCCACAATCCTCCTCCAAATTCTTTTTCACTCCCCCTCCCACCCCTCCCGTCCCCACTCCTGGCCGCTGCCAAGGAGAAAAGGGAAAGGAAGCCAAGGGGGACTCCAGTTTCCTTTGGTCCTGGTCTGGAGCTGTCGGCCACTTCACCATCACGGCACTGTGAGCCTGGCCTTGGAACACCCTCTTTCTACCCTCCAGCCCAGTTAAGATTCGGTTCGGTCTGTCCTGAACGGTGAGGGTGCAGGGTGAGGCCACAGCCGGTTCAAGTGAGCCCCCGACGGACGGGGCCAGAGATGCGCTGGCTCCCGCGCCGCGGCTAAGTCCCTGGATTCCAGGGCCTGAAGGGCCGGGCGGCGAAGGTTCCAGTCGTCAAGAGTTTCGGGGCAGGGGCCGCCTTGGAAGCTTCCGCTGCCTTTCCTCCCCACTGGTGACTTCTCCACCTGTAGGCGGCGGCGGAGCAAGGAGGTGGCGGCTGCGGGTGGGAGGAGCGGGTTTCCAAGATCCCCTTATACATCTCTGATAAGTGTAACCCGGACGCGCTGCACTTCCCGCAGCTCCCAAGGGAACCCTTCCTCGAGAAAAGATAGGTGAGCCTTTTCCAGGCGGCGGAAGGGCCAGGCCAGGAACCTGCGCGGTGAAAGGGACTGAGGGGACCTAGGCAGCCTTGGGAACGCGAAGGGACTCAGGAGCTTGTCACGGCTTTTCCCGGCCAGCCGCCTCTTTGGCCCGGACACCTCGGGGCTACTCCGAGAAGAAATGCTTGTGTGGTCCCCAGTGCCCGCTAACTAGGGCTCCGCACCCGTGGACCATTGGTCCTCAAAATACTGCAAAACTGCGAGCGCATCCCGGAAAATAGAAACCTGGGGTTTCCCCTGCTGCGGAGAGAGCAGGCTACGTCTCCCCACCCCCTCCCAAAGTGTCAAGTTTCCTCCGGGGAGGGGGTGGGCTGCGAGGTCTGCCTTCGCGCGCGGCCCATGCTGCAGTCGACTGTCCCCATAGGCCGAGGCCGCGCTCGCATACACTCACGCATTTTCATACACTCACACGCGTGCACAGATACACACGCTCTGATGAGCTTCCGAGACTGCTGCACGGATTGCTGCTGGCCGCGCGCACTTTCTGAGCTTCCCGGCGGGCGGGGCGCGCGGGGCGGGGCGCGGGCAGAGGAGAAATTGATAACAGATTCGGCGGATTACAGCGGATCTCTTTGTTAGAGGCGAAGCCACACAAACCGAACCCACTCTCGGCCAACGACCCCGAGGGAAGTCCACCCCTTTCCAGAGCTGGGGCCAACTGGGAGTGGGCCACTGGGTCTCTGCGACTCGGGTCTCCCCAGCTCCAGGCTGGGGGTTAGCCAAAGGTGTCCCCAAGGGGATCCGCAGGAGAGTCGGGCGAGTCGCGTCTCCACTTAACCCCGCGCGCTTGCCCGGAAACACCTTGGCCCTCTTCCCGCTCGAAACCCCGCGCAATCCAGAAAAGGCCCCACAAGTTTGAAACATTGAAGGAACCCACAGCGAACTCACTAATAAATACATGGACTCCGCTGGGTAAACATCCTTGTTTTGTTTACCAAGAGATTTGATCCGAAAAGACAGTACGAAATGGGACCTCTCCGGAGACTGTTCTAGGCAAAAGCTGAGTTTACCAAAGAATGGACTGTTTTCGAACGCTTCCAGGGCCCGGGAAAGTCGACTTCGTAAGGATCCTCGGAACCTGTTCCTTGTCTGGGTTGAGAAGGAGGGTGCATTTGAGAAAGGTTCGAGCGCAGGGGAGAGGTGAGGGTGGGGGGGGGGGGCGGGGTAGAACGTCCTCGTGCCTGTTTCCAGCCCAGAGCAGCTCATTGTAGTGGCTGCTTATTCTGTCTCTCCTCCACAGGTTTCGCACTGGATCAAAGGTGTCCCTAACCCTCTTTTAAAATCAACAGCAGTGCGGGCGGGGAGCGATAAGGGGTGAGAGAGAGGAAACCGTCCTGCTGGTTAAAAGTTCGCAGACGCTCGCGCGCGACGCCAAGCATCGGAAGGCACGCGCAAACCCGCCGCCCCAAAAAGAAATTCCACAAAGAGAAGGCGAAGATCCTGCACCCTCGGTCACTGGCGTTCTCTTGGTCTGGGCATCCCCTTCCATCAGGCTCTTCGCGGCCAGGTCTCCCCAAGTCTCTGAGAGTGGAAATGATGAGGCAAACCAATTTGGAGGAAATGAATTTGACCTGGGCTCGCGGTATCGAAAGGGGCAGGCAACTCCGAGAGCCGCAGTTCTTGGTGGGAAATAAACTTTGTTTTCCCAACTGTGATCTCTCCCCAAAGCAAGGAGAGAGATGGAGAAAACTGCGGAAGAAAAATTCGGTTGCAGCCACAACGTTGGGCTGTCCTGCCTCGAGAACGCCAACAGAAGTGGGAGGGGATGATGAAGGATGAGCCGGCCAGGGCTGGTAGGAGGTCCGCTTTGGGGGAGCAGACAAGGAACCAGCGCGCTCCCCCACGCCTCTATGCTGCGTGCAAGGGGGCCGCGGCTGAGGTGTATACACAGCGCTGTGTCGGGGCTGGGTGGGGTGGGGAGAGAGAAGGTGGAGGAAGTTCCGGAGCCCAAATCAGTGCAAGGAACCTGAGCCGCCTCTGCCTGCCCCGACTCGGAACCAACAGCAGGTCCGGTAACCAGGAGTCTCCAAGGAAGGAATAGGAGCCAAGTCTAGTCACCCAGTCCTGTTCCCTGCCTTCCTTCGGCCATCCCTAGAACAAGGTTCTACACACCGCAAGATCCCCCCACCCCACCCCGCGCCCTCCCTCTGTCCCGCCCACCCCCCCCACACACCACTTATTCCTTCTCACACGGAATGTCTATCTTTCTCAGCACAGGCTCTCAACTTTGTCCAGAGGAAGAGCAGTGTCTGGTTGAATGATAAAGAAAATTCAACATCATTCCCCTCCCTCCTTCAGAGGCAGCTTCAAATTTTTTATAGACGAAGAAACTGAGGGCGAGAGAAAGCAACACTTGTCCTCGATCACAGAGAAAACTGGTGAGAGCTCCAAGACCAGACTCGAGGCCTCTTACAGGGCGACGCTTTGGTTCCTACGTTTTGGGGAAGAGGTACCAACTCTTCCTCCACTCGCCCGAGCCCAATTTGCTGGGTCGGACCCTTGGCCTCTTTCGTATTGCAGTGGCGGCGCAGTGCAGCCGGTCGTTTGGGGGCCTCCGAGCGGCCCTCCCGAGAGAGTGGGAAATGGTGGTCAGGAGGAAAGAGCCAAGTCAGAGGTGGGGAGCTAGAAGCGAACAGCTACCGACTCGCCCCAACGAACCGACTCTGAGGCGTCCTACCTCAAGGCAGCCAATAGGGGGCAGCCGGCACCGCACGGCGGGGAATAAAGGCTGCGGGAAAAGCTGAGCTCCGCGCGCACGGTACTAACCCCTTGTGCACCGGAGCTCTCCAATGAGGGGAGGGAAACGGTGAAAGAGACTCTCGGGTCGGGCTTCCGGAGGTGGGGTTCTCCTTCGTGGGGCCGTGCGGGACTAAGGCTAGTATAGCCAGGACCCAAGAAAAACTGACCTTCCCTTTCTCTCCCACACACGCAAGGGACAGATCCGCACACCCGGACACACAATTTCCACTGCCTTTCCATCGCTTGCGCGCTCTCAGCAATACGCTCTCGGAACTCCCCTGGCAGAGGCTGTCTAGAAACTAAATCTCCGCATCTGGCTGGAGCCTCAGTGAACGTAGGCAGTAGGACAGGGGCTGAGAAGGTGTGATCCCACTGCTGGCTACAAGTGACTTCCAAACGAGTTGTCCATCTAAAGAAAGAGGAGAGGAGAAGGGGCCCCGATGCCTGACTGGGTTTAGAAAGTAAAGCAAGGCCGCAGGGTCTTCAAGCTTGCGGGTTTTTAAAACCCGCTTTTGAGGGAAAGGGGAATTTGTTTGCTTTTAGGAAACATCCCAATTCTAATTTCAACCTTATTTTCTAGAAAACTTAAAATTGGAGAGATCAACAAAAATGGAAGGATGGAAGCTTTGAGTACAGACAGGAAAAGTTTTTCGGAAAATACAAGTTACATTGCAGGAAGAAATGTTAACTTCTCGTAAAAGTGAACTCTCGGTGACCCTCGGAGTGTGTGACTCGGCTTTAACATACAACTGACAATTAAAACAAACAAGAGTTCACAAACTGCCCCCCGCCCGCTCTCCCAACTCTGAGGCCCAAATGTCTCCAAAGGGCAAGGCAGATTCCGCGCAGGGGTCGGAGCGCGATTTCCCAGCGGACAGGATTAGAGCCACCACCGCCAGCACTCCCCGCCCCCATCACCGCTGCTAAGTGGCAGAGCTCACCCAGTGGCGGCTAATAATGCTAATAACGCGACCCTGCTCCCCGCGCCGGGGTGCGCGCTGGCCCCCCGCCAGGCACTCTTAAAGGTACAGGGTCCGCAGCACTAGGGTTCCCCAGCCAGGACGAGCTGCAGAGGGCGAAGGTTGCGTTTCTCTGGGGCATTCGGCCCCTAGTCCAGCTGCCCCGTCTCCCAACCAAGGAGTCCTACTCCTTTCTAAGTCCTGGCCACACACCTTCTCGGTGCCTGCGCAGTGGGCACTTGGTAAATATTTGTTGAATTGAATCATTATCCTGTTCTGAAATATACATAGTAAGTACACTCGAGTTTCTCAGGGCCAAAGGGAAGTCATCCGTGAACCGCACTGTTTTTCTGCCTTGGCTCTTCCCCACTTTTTCTCGAAAGTCGAAAAGGTCTGCAGAACGTTTGGTGGGACAAGACTAGATCTCCGGGAATCGGAGGCAGTGCGCGGGAGGTGCAGGGCGAAGCGGTAGGGGTCCCTACCAGCCCCGCGGGAGCTCCAGCTTTTCGAGGCGGTAGGAGAAATGGAGGGATAGAAAGAGGTGGGGGGTGGTGGAGGGAATCAGTTAACTTCCATAAGAAAAACGAAGTCGAGGGGAGAAAAGAAGTGGCGAGCGTCGGCGGCGCACTGAACACCTACCTTCATGGCGAGGGGGAGGGGGTCCGGAGAGGAAGTCGCCACCAGAGGAAGGGCAGCGGAGGAATCCAAGCGGAGCGGCCGGGTTAAACCTGGGTGGACAGTCCGGCACAGAGCTGAGGGCTCCTCCTGGGCGCGTCCGGCAGGCGCAGGGAATCGGAGCCGAAGCGATCTTTGCAGCCCGAGTCTGGGGGCCCGAGCCGGAGCAGCGCTGGGATGCGCCCAGGAACCGAGGGGGCGCGGAAGCCCGCCGGATCGCAACAGAGACTGGGCCCGGCCAACGCGCAGCAAGGGAGTCGCGGGTCCGGCGAGGGCGCGCAGGCGACTGTTCCGCGGCGAGGCGCTCCCTCTCCAACGTCCATCAGCGACGGCGGTAATTAGGGCTTTCCAACCCCAAATGTGGGCGTGATTGTGCAAAAGACTTTACAACAAATAATAAAAAAAAAAAATTCTTCAGAAGAGGGTGAAAAAAATGCCCCACTACTCCACTCTGGCCTGGGGCGGGGTAGGGGGGGGCGATCCGTGCGCCCAGGTGCCCCCAGTTCATTCACACCAAGGATTCTGCAAACTCCTGGCGGCTCACGCCCTCCTGATCTCCAGCTCCTCCTCTCCAAGTCTGTGGCCGAAACGTCTGCTTCCAGGCGCTGATCTTGCGGCCGCGAGTGTGTGGACGTCTGTGTACACACAGACACACACCCAAACACACACGCACGCACACACACACACACACACACACACTTCAGCTTTGGGGCCACAGAACAATCAGGCGCGCATGGCTTTTTCTCCGGGAGATGCCGCTGAAAACGCACAAGTCGCCATCCAAGCCGTAAAAGTCAGCGCCAACTTTTGTCCTTTCATTTTAGGGTTTGGCAAAAAGGGGGCGCAAAATGGGTAGTCGTCCCCGGATGTTCTGCCGCGCGGTGGTTTCAGAGGGCGACTGCCCCAGGGGAGACACGGGCTCCCCCCTCCCCACCCCCTTCTTTCTCTCTTCGGGTTAATCCCCCTCCTTTCCCCGCCTTTCCAGGGCGAGGGGCGACGCGAAGCGAGGGCACGGAGGGCGTGGGGCTGGGGAGGGGTGAGGGGCTCCGCGGCGGCTGCTCAGCTCCGGAGGTCCATGGCCGGCGCGGCTGCCCACCTCCGCGTTTGGCGCCCGGGCCCGAGGGGCGGGAGAGCGAGCAGGCGGGCGGCGCGCGGTCGAGGGCACGGCGGCGGCGGCGGCGGGAGGAGCTCGCCGGCAGCGGCCGCGCAGAACCGGACTCCGGACGGCGGGGGCGGCGTCGTGCAGTTTGCAGCAGACTTCCACGCGATCCTGTGACCCGCAGACAGACTGACCGACCACAGCGACCGCGTCCCCCCCCACCCACCCCCGGCCCTTCTGGCCAACGGCCGCACTCTCTCCCTCCCTCTCTCCGGACTCCTCTTTCCCCTGGTGTTCTCAGAGAAGAAAAAAATATATATACATATATATTCTTTTTTAAGTTGCAGAACCAAAGGCTGCTGAAAAGAAGAGAGGGAAGGGGGGAAAAAAAAGAAAGGAAAAAAAAAAAAACTCTACTTTGCCTATGCGCATGCGTGGTGAGGCCGGCCTATGACAAACTCCGCAGGATTTTAAAGTCGTACCACGGGCTGGGGTGCAGGGGGGCGGAATACACTCTCTGCAAGAGCCCCCTTCTCTCGACTCCCCATCCCCCAGGCATCTGCTGAAAGAGAGATCCACTCCGCAGCCGCTGCCCTCCCGTCGCCAGACTCTCTGCTCTCCTTCCAAAACCACCGATCTGCGGAAGGCTGAACCCCAACTTCCAAGGCAGGACTCTTCGGCTTGCCTGTCCCAGGCCACTTCCACAGGGGCTGCACGGGGGCTGCTGCCCTGGCAGGGGGCCTCTTAGAGGACCTCCTCTGCATCCTTACTACTGAGGGAAAGTTCCCTAAACCCGGGGTCTGGAGAATAGGATAGTCGCACACATCCTGCAAAGCCCCCAGCGTAGTAGATTTGGGTACTTGGGTGCCCGATTGAACTGAATGGGACCCCAGCGCATCCCAGTGGGACGCGTGGTCTTGCCGGATGGATCTTGGTGAGTGGGTCTTGCCGGATGGATCTCAGGTGAGAAAGAAGCCTGCGAAGTTCAGCAAAACCGGGTTCCGGCCACTGGAACTTCTAAACACTTCTGGACACCTGTGATTGTTGGAACCCAGTCTGGGCAGGGTTGGTGGATGTGTGTCTCCACCTTCAGGCCCCCAAACAATGCCTCACACTGGAGCGCAATTCTTGTTCTCAATCCTCCCCATGCCCCAGACATTCCAGGTAGAAGACAGGCAGGCAGGCAGACACACAGCCCCCTCTCAATTTCTGCCATCCATGTGGCATGCACTTGACCTTAGGAGGAAAAGCCATAGCCTGGGTACTTCAGGGTGGTGTCTGTTTTGTTTTACTACTTTCTTACCCCATTCCCACCCCTAGGTGACCATCCCAGGGTGTTCAGGGAGAGGTTCTGGTGACACTGTCACTCCCTTCGCAGCCCCTTCCTAGTCCTTACTTGTCTCAACTGACTGGATCCCTTCCCAGCCCTGACCTTTGCCAGACACACCAAAGTGTCAAGAGTGGGCTTTCCACAAACTGCAAGAGATGCCCTTGCTTCCACAGGGCTTGCTTGCTTTCTCCAGGGACACACACAGCCTTAAGGAGGGTCATCGAAGATCCCCTTGGGACATCTCTCCTTCATCTCCTGATTCCACTTTCCCCTCACCCTCTCTAGGCCTTCACCATTTCATTACCCCGTGGGCATTTTCCAGTTTTCCAATCTAGCCTGAAACTTGCTTTGGGGAGGTGAGGATCTAAACAAGAGGGGTCTCTGCCTGCCATATCCATTCTCCCCCCATTCCTCTCCCCACTCCGTTGTGCCCAGCCACTGCAGCCTGGGATACTCCTGACTGGGGAAGAACCCAGGCCTCTGGACAACATTCCGCAGACCCAGTTCCAGGGAGGGCGGAGGCACTGAGAGGTGGCAGGAAATGAGGAGGCTAAGAATACAGCTCAAACAGAGGGCTGAAGTCACTGGGCACCTGAGTGCCTGGCGACAGTGTGCCAAGATGATCCTATTCCTAAGAGGGAAAGGGCCATTAATGTAAGGACTTGACCCATTCATACTAGCCAGTCCAGAAACACTGGATACCTACCATAAATCTTTTATTTTAATTGCTATGTTCTGAATTACCTGGATGTTTTCTTTCCAATTGCCTTTGCTTCTTTATGCAGATACAGTCCTAACGGTTTTACTTCCTGCTTTGCTGTTTTTTCTCTAGTAGAAGGTGGTGTTAGATAGTGTGTAAAATTATGAACTCTGACACCTGGAGTTCCAGTGCCCTCTCTGCCACTTTCTAGCTGTGAAAACTTGGATTATAATGAGCTATCACACAACAAAGAAAAACAGAAACGCAGTGACCTACTAGGTAGGGATGCAGTAGAAGTGTTGAGGATAACGTTGAAAATCAGGGATGGAGGGAGAATGAATAGTAATGCCCAGGGAGCACTTAAGGTTGGTCAGGCACTGAGTGGACACTCGATACCTGCTCTTCTACAAAAAGCAGCTCTGAAAACAGAGGTTTCAAAACTCCTTTGGTGGCAAAACTATACGTCACGTGACAAGGTCATTTACAGTATTAATTTATCCCAGTTAGAGTGAATGTTCATACTGTTCACAGAAGAATACGAACAGTATTGGATTACTGGGTACTTCCCCAGACCTCACTGGGGCTCTTGGCAAACTAAATAATCATATGCCTTATTTTATCTTTCAAAAAATTTCAAAATTTCCAACAAACCTATCTGACCCCAAGGGCTTCAGATGAAGGACAGTGAATTTTGTCTGATGACATGAATAATGAGTGTGCTGAAATTATGCCCTGTGAGGATCCAATAAGCTCTGTGACAGTGTTTTCATGGCTGTAACAGTGCCTGGCACTTAGTAGTAGCTCAATAATATTTGTTGAATGACCAAATGTATCCATGCATGAATGAAAGGATTATTTCCAAAGGAAAAATATCAAAGGGAACCAATTGGAAACCCCTTTGAGCCCTCAGTCAGGGGTTGCAACTCTGGAAAGCCAGGCTCAGTAGCAAGAGCCAATCCCACTATGGGTATTTGTTGATTTGTCTGGTCAATGAACAGTGGAAAGGAAGAAATCCATCTCTCTCTATCTCCATCTTCAAAGGTCCTGTTCCACAGACCTCCAGGTTTTGGGACTCCACCTTTCCCCCTTACAAATCGTGTGTGCATTTGGGTATATGTACTCAGATTGAGTCATCTGCAGACACACTGGTAAGGCATCACCACGCTCCACTCATTAAAAATGTGTTTGAGCCTGTGGAACAAATAAATCAATATTTTTGGCTGCTCTCCCAACAGGGTTATTTCACAAAACAGAGTGCAAGATAAGAAATTTAGGAACGATCTCATCCATGTGCCCCTTTCCCCGTGGGAGAAAGCAGGGCCTGGGTTGACATTCTGGGAAAATCTACCCCCCTTTTATGCCAGGCAAATAATATTTTATGGCCCTGGGTTTATGGTGGTGTTTTAATGATCCGCTATAGAAAGCGGTTTTCTCTCCAGTCACTAGAATTTGTCAAGAAGGGCTGCAGGCCATAAAAAAGGGATGGGCCCCAGGGACAAAGAGGCTCCATCTTCTGAAATAAACTAATAAAGAGTCCCAAAATGTTTACTCCTTCACCTCAGAGTCAAGACCAGCAGGGCTGCCTGTGAGGGGCCCCCAGATGGAGCACTAAAGGAGACAAAGAGGCCGGAAGCGGGCCAGGAACTTCCTCACCACCACATGGCCACAGTCAAAGTAATATTCTCATATTGTATTTCCACCAGCCACTGGCCTGTGGGGGGAACAGAGGCTTCCTTGAGGTTAGAGGATATATTTGGACAGAGCTGACTCAAGGAGGCTCCTTGAAAATCTCAAGCTCTCCTAGAACTAGGCCTCCTAACTTATCAGAGTGGCCTCCTAACTTAGGGCCCTCTTTATTTTTACAGTCAAGTACGTGTGTG